AGGGTGTCAAGACAGGGTAAAAGATGGGGTTCTAGAACTTCGTGGATATAAACGCTGCGCGTTCATGTTACCTCTGATGAAGATTAAAGGTGACCTGGAACCATAAGCTATAGCACCCCCAAACCATACTCCAACAGTGTGATGAACATGTCTTTCAACAAAAAACTGTGAATTCCTCCTTTCACCACGTCGCCTTCTAACCCTGGCACGACCATCGTGCATGCCTAAACAACATCGAGACTCGTCACTAAAGACAATACTGTTCCATTCCTGATCCCAGAGTGACCGTTGTCTGCACCACTCAAGGCGATTACGTCGGTGTTCTCGAGTTAAAGGGAGGACCCAGTGTGGCCGGTATGAAAACAAGCCAAAACTTCTCATTCGTCGGTAAACACTTCGCATGCCAATAGGTCTTCCGTGTTCTGCAAACCAACATTTGCAATGGACCTGGTAGTGGAGAAACGGTCCCTTAAGGCCAATAACCTTAGGCGGCGATCTTCACGGTCTGTTGTTCTACGGCGGCGTCCAGTGCCCCTTGCGCTTTGCGTACGGCCTTCTCGAAGCCATGCCTGACAACACCTAACCACAGTGTCTACACTTCTTTGCACTCTAAGTGCAATTGCCCGAAAAGAAAGTCCAGCTTCCGAAGTCCCACTATACGGCCCTATCAAACTCACTATGTTGACGAAATCGTACAGGTCTCCGTACTCTAGGCATCGTAACGATCGTAAAGGATGTCAAGAACCAAAATCCGCCAACGTTGATTCTTTACCGCCGCTGAAATATTCATTTTTAGAGCGTTAGTGAATTAAAAAAATGCAGTATAAAACCGGAATGTCCAACTGATAAGGCTGAAAATTTTTTCACTTGTTATTTACAGTAAGATAAATACATTCACCAACTTTCATTAAAATAAAACCATTTAACTGGGATTTATATGTCACTTAGTATAAATACGAATTTAATTTTACCAGACTATACATGTCCCTGATTCTGCGCGGGATCGTCAGCACCCATGTCATGTGGTTCCAAGGTAAATTTGCGAACCCAGTTTCAACTACAAGATCAACTACTGCCGCTGAGGGTGTTTCCATAATAATGATGTTTTTTAACAGAGTTTACACACTTTTCACAGTTCAACCCGAACTTAAACGCAACTTAAAGCGAGATTAGCGAGATGAAAGAAAACACTTGTTCACGCTTATGATGGTATATTGCAACTACTCTGACATTACAGAGTGACATGCACATAGTGGACAAACACAGTAGTAACGACATATGACACTAGATGTCGCTACTTTGACCAATTTTAAATATATAACAGCTACAGTAAACTTTTGGTATACTTATTCACAACACTCCCACTTAACAAAAGTTTACTAATGGTTCTCTAAAACCTTTTAAAATATCTGTCATGCACAACTTAACTTAAACCTAAACCCTTTACAAACTTTGAATTCTTAACATTTTGTAATGGTTTCGTTAAAACATCTGCAACCATTTCGTTAGTAGGTGTATACATTAATTTCACTTTACCTTCTAACACAATATCTCGCAAGAAATGGTACCTTATATCTATGTGCTTTGACCTATCATGGAACATTGGATTGCTAGCAAGCTTCTGAGCACTTTGATTATCATTATGAATCTCAATACAATCCAATTTTCCAGTTAACTCGCTCAACAAATTCCTCAGATATATGGCCTCTTTTGCTGCCTCGCTTAGAGCCATATACTCTGCCTCAGTTGTCGACAAAGCAACAGTACGTTGTTTACAGCTTTTCCATGAAACTGAACCCCCTGAATATTTAAATACATAACCAGTAAATGACTTTCTGTCTTGCTTATTGGACCCCCAATCTGCATCTGCAAAACCTGTCAAATTTAAATTATCCTTAAAAAATTTCATAGACAAGCTCTTTGTACCCTTTAAATAACGAAGTAAACGCTTTGCAGATTGCCAATGAACTTTAGTGTATGAGTTATTATACTGACTTAATAAGCTCACAGCATGAGAAATATCAGGTCTGGTCATTACCGAAAGGTACATTAAACTTCCAATAAGCTCTTGATATGGAACTTTGGATCACAAATTTCACCACTGATATCGCTCAAGTTGATACTACTGTCAAGCGGAGTACTTACTACTTTGCTATCTGACATACCAAAACGACATAAAAGTTCATTAATATACAATTCTTGATCAATTGACAAACAATTTTTCGAATAATCCCTAGTGATTCTTATACCTAAACATTGTTTTGCCTCTCCTAAATTCTTAATTTTAAACTTTGAGTTTAAATGACCTTCAAGAAACTTCATTTCATTGTCATCAGACGAAAAAACAGAAAAAATCGTCAACATAGAGAGCAACAATGGTTAACAAATTACTGTTATTCCTTTTAATGTACAAACAAGGCTCATATTTGGACTTAGAATAACCAATTTTTGACAAAACTTGGTCGACTTTTTCGTTCCAAGCACGACTAGATTGTTTTAATCCATAAACTGCTTTCTTCAATCTATACACTTTATTTTCTTTATCTTTAATGACAAAACCTTCAGGTTGCTGCATAAATACATTTTCTTTCAGAATACCATTCAAGAAAGCTGTTTTCACATCCAAGTGTAAAATTTTTAGATCTAGCCTAACAGACAAAGCAAGCAATAAACGAAAAGTTGAGTGCCTTACCACTGGGGCGAAGGTTTCAACATAGTCCACACCCTCTCTCTGTGTGAAACCTTTAGCCACAAGCCTAGCTCTATACCGGTTATGGCTTTCATTATCACTCTTCACTTTATATACCCACTTGCACTGCACCACTGTACCAACTTCTGGCGGATCTACTAATTCCCAAGTGTCATTATCGATAAATGACTGTATTTCTTCTGACATAGCTTCTTTCCACTTCTGCCCATCTGGCCTTGAAAGAGCCTCAGTCACTGATGTAGGGATACTCGAGTCATAGACTTCACCCTTGCTGTTAACACCTCCAAAATATGTCACAAAATCTTGAAAATTCTTCTTCTTGATCTGTCTTTGGGATCTTCTTGGAGTTACTTGTTCACCATTATCAAACAAGTCATGGCACTGACCTTCAGGCACATATTCATCATCATCCGAGAAGTATACATCATCTTCAGAAGATTCATCATCTGAATACATGGGATTCTGCTCTCCCACTGAATCTGGAACTTCCCTTTGCTTATCTGGAACACTATCCGGCAACACTGTACTTGGAATTTCCAAACTTGGTTTCTCTATGATTGTTACATCACGGCTTACTATGACTTTCCTTGTTCTGGGGTTAAAACACCTATATCCTTTGGTAGTTTCATCGTACCCAACAAGCACATGCTTCACTGACTTCTCGTCCCACTTGTTCCTACTGACCTTCGGAACATGAACCATGGCGGTACTCCCATATACCCTAAGATGACTAAGATTTGGTTTCTTACCTGTCCAAATCTCATATGGTGTCATTGAAAGCTTTGAACATGCTGAACGGTTTTTCAGGTAACAAGCAGTATTACACGCTTCCGCCCATAATGCCTTGGTCAAGCTCTCATCAAATAAAAGACACTTAGCCTTCTCCACAATGGTCCGGTTGAACCTCTCAGCCATCCCATTTTGCTGCGGAGTGTGACTGCTCGAAGTCTGGTGTATGATGCCTGAATTCTTTAAAAACTATCCATTTCTCTATTACAGAATTCCCCACCATTATCGCTTCGCAAAATCTTAATCTTAACATTCTGTTGATTCTCAACTAATGATTTAAATTGCTTAAACTTATCAAAAGTTTCATCTTTTGTCTTCAGGAAATATATAAAGCACATTCTGCTGTAATCATCTATAAATGTCAGGAAATATTTAGCTCCACCATAGATGTTGTTTCCATAGGACCACAAATGTCGCTATGAATGACCTCTAGCAGTTGCTGTGCTCGACTGCCTTCTTTGGGAAAAGGTAAACGGGCTTGCTTGCCCCTACAGCATACCTCACAACTCCCAATGCTTGTACCATTACAGATAAGACCATCAACCAACTTGGCTGTCTTATTCAGGTAGCTGTCATTAATGTGACCTAAACGTTGATGCCATAAATTGCTACTTACAGCTTGAAAACACACTGGCTCCTCACAAACGTTCAACTTGTAAACGTTGTTATGTAGACTAGCAGTAGCTACTGATACACCAACTTTATTGTAAATATTGCATCCCTCTTCATGAAAACTTACTCTATTTCCATTATTGATTAACTGGCCTACTGATAATAAGTTAGTTGTTAAACCAGGAATATACTGTACACCTTCTAGTAAAATCTTGTGCTGTTCATTGGTCATTGTTTTGATCTCAACATCACCTGCACATTCCACAACAACTTTCGATTTGTTAGCCATTACAATATCAGGTAAGTCAGGCTTTCTCCTGTTTTTTAACCACTGGCTATTGGCAGTTAAATGCTTGCTGGCACCACTATCAACATACCAATCTGTGACCTTAAAATCACCTGTTGTAAACACGGCACTAAATCCTCCTTCAAGTCTGTTATTGTTAGGGCATTTTGACATAAAATGTCCTGTCTTTTTGCACTTGTAACACACAATATTACTCAGATCCTTTTTATTATGTCCATTTCCAAAACCACTGTTTGAACTTGACCTCGATTGAACCCCGAAATCATCTGTGTTTGTTGACATTCCCGCTTGGCTAGCACCAGCTGATTTTCCTTTGAAATTCGTCCTACTAGCGCCACCTCGCGACTGTTCCGAAAACTCGGTTTCTTGGCGGAGAATGCACCTGCATTTCCATTACCACTAGCGCCATCTGTCTGCATATCCAATAACTTGGTCTTTATTGAATCTGTGGTTATGCAGATTCCTGAGTGCTCGACGGCCATGATCATTGGTGCGTACTTGTCTGGAAGACCGGCCAGCAGCAATGATCCTACCCACTCCTCGTCTATTTTGAAACCTGTTCTGCGTAACTTTTGGGAAGTCTCAACAATCTGGTTTATGTACGACCTCCATACTATCATGATTCTCTAATCTTGCCGATATGAGTGTACGTAAAAGTCCAATCTTTCGCATGAAACCACTGTCATCATATAAACGTTTGAGACTGGTCCATACTTCTTGTGCAGTCGTTAAATCTTTGACATGCGGGAACAAAGATGGATCGATGGTTAATACTAGCTTGGCCTTTGCTTTTGCTAGGGTCGTTGTGTCGGTCTCGGTACCTTCGATGCATTTGTTTAAGCCCTCTAGCACAAACACATTCTCGACGGCAAACGCCCATTCATCATAATTCTCACGGCCTAAAAGCCTTGGCACACTCGTCAGGTAGTTGACGGCCATATTTGTTCTGTGAGAAACACTTGCGTCACGACAGTTTCTTTCAACGTCTCGATTCACTAAAGTTTCGCTGCTGGGTGTCCTACTGTGGGTCTGGGCCCATAACCTGATGTTTTTTAACAGAGTTTACACACTTTTCACAGTTCAACCCGAACTTAAACGCAACTTAAAGCGAGATTAGCGAGATGAAAGAAAACACTTGTTCACGCTTATGATGGTATATTGCAACTACTCTGACATTACAGAGTGACATGCACATAGTGGACAAACACAGTAGTAACGACATATGACACTAGATGTCGCTACTTTGACCAATTTTAAATATATAACAGCTACAGTAAACTTTTGGTATACTTATTCACAACAAATAATGTGTGGAAGTAATTTAACAACAAACATTTTTAATCCGTCAGACGATATCGGCTATTTCAATAGTTTTGTCAAATCTTGACAAGCCAATTTTACTAGAATCCATTAGTTAACCATTCAGCCGTCATCGTCTGTTTTTGTCGAAATGATTGTGGAATAAATTTGCTACTTTCACCAGACTATATCGTTTGATCCATCGACATCGACTACTGCCATCTAGGCCTTTGCCAAGCAAATTTGCGAAGCCAATTTCACCAGACTATATCCTTTTAATCCGTCAGATGACAGTCACATCAAGTAGAAGCAATCGGAATCATCGCGAGGATCAAAGGATATAGTCTGGTGAGATTAACTTCGCTAGCTTATTTGTTAGGTGGATGTCACACTCTTAATATTTACAATACAAGTGAAACTGAAAATAATTGAAGCATACATCTACCCGGTACTAACATACGAACTTGCTGCTGTGTTCCCAGTGGCATTCTCAAATCTCATCTACTGCATACCAAATAATATAATAATATAATATAATATAATAATAATATACGCCGTTATTACAAAAAAATATGTACATGGTACATACTGAAAGTGGGACTCAACTGGCGAAGTTTAGCAATGCTACTCTTACACTTAACCAGCTGAATCAATAAATACAGTGATGTTAAATAAATTAAAAACATATATATATACATATATATACATACACATGTATATATATATATATATATACACATATACACATACCTATATATACATATATATCATGCGCCTAAAAATAATATTAGTTCTCAACGTAATAATATAAAGTCTGATTGGATGATGAAAGCTCATACATTTAAAGGAATATTCCAACGAATTATATAGAACTGCCGAATTATAAGAAAAACTGCGGGTGAATAAGACTGTAGAGTGAGGCGGAATTCTGATACTCAACCTATCTCTAAGCAACCGATCATGAACAACAAAGTTAAATAGAATTTTTCTCTCAAGTAGGCGGGCTTTGAAGTGGTTATTACTTTGTGAATAAATACTAGATGGTGATATTCGACCAATTTATCAAATTTGAGCCATTTCAGCGTCCTGTATTTCTGTGATACATGGTCAAATTTTCTCAATCCACATATAAAACGGACACAATTATTCTGTATAATTTGAATTCTATTTTTCTTTATTTTGTCAAGGCATGGGAAATAAAGAATGTTACAGTAGTTCAAACAAGACATCACTAGCGTTTCACACAGTTTTTTCCTGAGCTTATACTTCAGTAAGTACCTACAAGAGTACAAAGTGCATAGGCGGAGGTAGGTTTTTTGAGCAAGACAGTTGATATGATTATAAAACCTTAACTTCTCATCGACCTCGACACCTAAAATCTTGGCAGTGGTACCAACCTGAAGAAGATTTCTGTCAATAAAGATATTAAGGTTACCTTTGACGTAGTTTCTTTTATTATCAGAACAGAAAACTATGATTTTTGACTTCTCAGGATTAACTCATAAATTATGATTGGCTGAATATTACAAACCATGTCAATATCATGTTGTAGCTCTATATTAGCTGTTCGTAATTCACTAGCTTTAAAATAATGTACTATTTGGGTATCGTCGGCAAAAGATTGCATTTCAGAATTTTCCATTACTGCATATAGATCGAAGGTGTAGATGAGGAATAAGAGAGGACCTAGGATAGAACCCTGAGGCACGCCAGATGGTATGATACTGTCTAGATAGAGAAACTTCCTGAACTCGGTCGGTTAAATACGCACAGAAAAATTTGAAATGACATACTCTGAGAGATGCTACAAAAAGACGGTATGGCAACACGCCTCGATCAAGCATACAAGAAATTTCTTAAAACACCAAGAAAGACAAATCAGTTAAGCAGATCTAGACCAAAGAATATTATCTAATCAGCCAGCCAAGTCCAGTCTTCAAAATTTAGACGTCTTGTGCACCATATCTCATAACAATAACAAGGTTTTATCCTACATACCCTATCCTCCTCCTTGTAGCCTTTACTAAGAACTACATATTTTGAATCTATACAAAAGAAATTTTGTTGTTGTTTACACTGCTTACATACAGTGTGTACCAATATTCCGGGGACATATAAGTACTACGTATTTTTAGACTCTGAGAGGCAGAGTTGCGAACAAATTCTGCTGTAATTTATGGTGGGGGGTAGTTTGCACCTTTATCAAACCCTTTCGAGTTTTTTGTAAAACTCAAATATTAGAACGTCTATTAAAGCAAATGTGTCTCAAATCGGACTATCGGTTTCTAACGGACAAGCGAAACAGTTTGCATGGAGGTAAATTATGTCCAATCGACTTACTTTGAGTCTGAAAATACGTAGTTCTTTTATCTCTATCGAATATTGGTATATAAGCCAAAGGCATTATATACAGGGTGGCGCATCGAAAACGAAACAGACGCATTTACTGGCAGCTCAGTTTTTTTTTTTTGAAAAACGCTCAGACCCGTCGATTTTGTTTTCGACGGGGACACAAGTTTGGCAAATAATCACGTTAATACGTGCAGCCCCCTGGGCGGGGGTGACACCAACCCTAAAATCTTTTAATGTAAAGGGAGGTCGAGTGATTTTAAAGGTCTTTCAATTCCCTTATAATGATGCAAAATACATGAGCTTCAGTTCAGTAGTTTTTGAAGATCTATTGATTTAACAGCTTAAAGTAGACTTTAATACGTACATCAGAGTAGTTTGTACTACTTCGGAAGAAATTTGACTAAAAGAATTTACTTAATAAGCAAATGCTTTTCTTCACTACGCTCATGGTTTGTTTATCATTTGTTGTTGAAATAGCTATTGGAGCGTTTTTGTGGCAAAAAGTTATTTCTTGAAGAAAGATAAGGAAATATCTCGTACTTATTTTAACCTTTAACCGACGTCGTAGGTACCTGGGACCGCTGGCGATATTCGTTCCTAATTTTTCCCCACTACTATCTGTCGTTCACGCGTATCCGTCTTAATACCTTCTTATTAGTACAACAGCAGTGCTAAAGTAGTGTAGTCGTGTTTATTTGAGCGTTAGTTTTTCGTAATAAAATAAAGCGGTCCGTGGTACCTCACAGCGGCTTAAGTGTAAAGTGTCTGGGTTGTGTACAACATTTTTGTATTGTTAATGGCTTCTGGACGCGTTTCCGACAGTGTAAACTTTGCTGACCCCTATTTCGAAGCCATGGTCATGCGCATGCTGGAATCACTAGACTCAGATGTGGATATGTCCGACCAACATGAAGATTACGTTGAAGAAAGTGAACATGATACCGATTCCGAATTAGATCTAGAACCGAATGAAGAGTTTGATCAATCCAATAATCAATCAGTACAAGTGAGTGACAACTACTCATCGGATAACGAAAACCCGAATTATTATTATGGTAAAAACCGTTTTTAAATGGTCTTATACCGAACCAAAATGAAATATCCGAAATCCAGCACATAATATTTTAAAATTACCTGGAATTCGTGTTCCGCAAATGAAAATGAAGTGTTTGATCCAGTTTGTGCTTGGAACTATGTTTTCAACGAAAACACGTTGCAGTGCGACTACCATATGAAACTGAGATCTTCAATTGCACGAGCTTTGGGAAATCAAGATGTTCCGCTACAAGAGGACCATGGTGTCTACAGGTTGGCCAGGAACGAAATAAAAACGTACCACATCTGTCCCCCAAAGAGGAAAAGAAAAACCGTATAATTATGTTGTCATTGCAAGAAACCAATTTTGCCTGGAATGTTCCAAAAAAATATGCCGTAGCTGTGTTAGTAAGTCTAGGTGTTCTTATAAAGAAATTTGTAGATTACAATAAATTCTATTATCTTTTACTCTGCACGTTTTTTTCTTTTGGATGTTATAGAGCTTATATTTGTGCAAAATAGTTCTTTAGGGTGTATTTCTTAATATGATAAATAATTTTCAGGTTAATGTTTTTTAGTCATTTATAACTACAATAAATAAGGTTGGTAAATAATATACACAAAACTGTATGCTATAAAAGTTAAAAATAAATGTTTAGTCGGACTTTACATGTTTTTTTAAATATAATACATAAATAAGGACTCAACCTAGAGTATATTCCAAGAAAGTAGTGTTTCTTAAAACAGTCATCGAAAATATATTTTTTTATTTTGCGGTCCCACGGACCACTCGACGGCGGTTATGCACAAAATAGTCACGACGTCGGTTAAGGGTTAAATAGGAATTTTAGTTTAGTTAGTTTGTGATTGATTTGACAAAATTTTGTTGCCTATATAACTTGTAACGCTTTATTACATACATTAACCATGGTATATTCCACAGCAGAAAAAGTTGAAATTATCAAAACATTTTTCGGAAATAATCAGTGCGCTAATAGAACAGCAGAAATATTTAATAAGCGACATGAGAACAGTAACGTGGATCGAAATATGTTCTAGAACTTGTAGCTAAAGTTCGGGAAACTGGGTCAGTCGCCAATAAAAAACGCAACATTGAAAATCCTATAAGCAACGAAGCAATAGAAGTGGGGGTTTTAGGCCTAGTTTTTGTAGATCCTACGTTAAGTACCCGCCAATTGGAGACTGTGTGTGATGTTAGTCGACGTACTGTCCAACGGATTCTAAAGGCTCAT